TCTATCCTAACAATCTGTTTGAGTAGCTAGGAAGAGAACACAGATGTCAGATCATCAGGTTTTTCCACATTACTTTTAACTATAAAATTATTTTGGTCAAATGGTGAACTATCACGATTTCCTGACTACCAAACACCAGACTAAGTATGTGATGTTGCTGTATCATTTATCTTGTAAGAAGCCCTTAGATAACGAAGTCACATAGCCCTAAAAGGTCTTTCATCCATTATGTAACTGAAGCAGTTGCCAAAATGATCCATAAATTACAAATAAACCACTTGCCAATTACAGACCTACCTACTTCCATCTCATCTCCCACATCAGACAAAGCTCAGAGCATTCAAATTCAAGGAGCAACCCCTTGGCCTGCTAAAGACAATTATAATTAACAGCTTTGGATGAGCGAGTGGTTAATTATGAATTTCTGAAAAACTAGGTATTTTCCCACACATCAGGAAAGGTGTTTGTAGGGCCAGCCCCGTGGCGCACTCAGGGGAGTGCGGCACTTGGGTGCGCAGCTGCGCTCCCGCTGCAGGTTCAGATCCTATATAGGGCTGGCTGGTGCGCTCACTGGCTGAGCGCGGTGCGGGCGACACCAAGCCAAGGGTGGCGATCCCCTTACCGGTCACACACACAAAAAAAAAGGAAAGGGGTTTGTAGGGCCAGCCCCGTGGCGCACGCAGGGGAGTGCGGCACTTGGGTGCGCAGCTGCGCTCCCGCTGCAGGTTCAGATCCTATATAGGGCTGGCTGGTGCGCTCACTGGCTGAGCGCGGTGCGGGCGACACCAAGCCAAGGGTGGCGATCCCCTTACCGGTCACACACACAAAAAAAAAGGAAAGGTGTTTGTAGAATCAAAATCTTGGGAATGGCAGAAGACCTTTAAAAAGAAAAGAGAAAAAAAAAATTAGCACAGTCCTAGTACTATACCCATACCTTTCATAAAAGGCAGCATGGGGGAATGAGAATAGAATTCTGAAATAAGATATCACAAGCCCTGGTTCACTTCTGGACTTTCTTACTTACCAACACTATCACCTGGTCAAATTACCTCATATGAGTCTCAATTGTCTCATCATAAAATGGGAATTATACCAATTATACCACAATCTCACAGAACCATCGTTAAGATTAAATGAGATAAGCCATACAGTGTCCATCATATAACAAATTTTAGTTCAAATATCTCCTTTCAGCAGAAAGAATATTGGTCACAGAGGGGACTTAATGGCCCTGGAACATCATACTGTGAGGGCCACCTCCCTGCTCACCCAAACAAAACTACAAAAATGCATGAATTCCCTCTACCACATCTTGGAAATGAAGTCCTGGTCTTCAAACTGGCACACACATATTGCTAGGAGTAAATAAAGATAAGCAAGCAGGGAAATTAACTTCCATACTACTCTTTCATAAATCTGATCTACATGGATAATTGGATAATCAATAAAAAACGTAACCATAAAATTTATTTTAGGACAGGGGTTGGAAATCTACAATCTGTGGGTCAAATCTGGCTTGCGGCCAAGAAAGTTTTATTGGAACACAACTACGCTTAGTTGCTTCGCTTAGTTGCTTGCATACTGTCTATGGATGTTTTTGCACCATAATAAGAGAGTTGAGCAGTAATGACAGAAACCACATGGCTCACAAAATCTACCATCTGGCCTTTACAGAAAAAAGTCTGCTGACCTCTGCCTTAGGATAAAATTCTGTGGGAAAAGTGAAATGGCTACAAGTTCAAAAAGAAAAAGAAATGGACAAATTCTCAGAATAATAAAAATTAGCAAAACTAACTTAAAAAGCAATAGAAAATCTAAATAGAACTATATCAAGTAAAGAAAATGAATTAGTAATTTAAAATCTTCCCGCAAAGAAAAGCCCAGGCTCGGAGGACTGCACTGATAAACACATAAAACATGAGAAAGAAATAATACCAATCCTATACAAACTCTTTCAGAAAAGAGAGGAGAAAGGAAATCTTCCCAACTAATTTTTTGAGGGTAGTATTACTCTGATACTAAGGCCAAAAACATCATAAGAAAAGGAAACCTCAGGCCAATATCCATCATGAATATAGATACAAAAATTCTTAATAAAACATTAACAAATTAAATTCAGCAATATATAAAAAGTATTATACACCATGACTAAGTGGGGTCCATTTCAGTAATGTAAGATTGGCTTATAAATCAAAAATCAGGTAATATGGGCCGGCCCGGTGGCGCACTGGATAGTGCGCCGCTTGGGAAGCGCGGCGGCGCTCCCGTCCGAGGGTTCGGATCCCACGTACAGACTGGCTCCCGCTCACTGGCTGAGCGAGGCGCGGGAGCAACACCGAGGCTTGCAATCCCGTTGCCGGTCCCCGGTCCGGTACGGGGGCAACACTGAGGGGTGCGATCCGTTGCCGGACACGGAAAAAAGACAAAAGACAAAAAAAAAAAAAAAAAAAAAAAAAAAAAAAAAAAAAAAAAAATCAGGTAATATACTATGCTATATACATCTTATTTTTTTTTATAAAAAGTTATTTGTATGTTTTTAAAACAAATTGCTATTTTAACTAGACAATTTTATCTTTATTTTTAAAAGGTCGATATTTATATGTCAGAGACTACATCCTGAACTATTTAAAACTAAACATTTAAATCATTTAAATTTATGATGAAAAGTCTCAGATGTTAACTTAAAAGAATATAAGATCTATGAGGGTACTTTAAACAGTTCATGCAAAAATAGAATTAAAAAATAATACAAATCTTTCCATGAATTTTTTTTTTTTTTTTTTTTTAAAGAGGATGACTGGAAAGGGGATCTTAACACTTGACTTGGTGATGTCAGTACCACGCTCACCCAGTGAGCTAACCAGCCATCCCTATGTAGGGACCTGAACCCGCAGCCTTGGTGTTATCAGCACCACACTCTCCCAAGTGAGCCACGGGCCAGCCCTTTCCATGAACTTTTTGAAGTACTATACCTACATCAATTTCCTAGTCTTTTAGACACTCTTAAGCAAAAATGTTTTAAGATGAATGACGCAGCCTATACCTAGATTTTACTAATTGTTTCCCTAATACAATGTACGAACTCGTGTCACATCAGTTCTTCTCACAGCCTAACCATACCACCGATTCAGATGGTGATTGAGACTGCGTTATCTTTTTATTACAGGAACCCCTGCTAGGTCACATCTCCACCCTCATAACTGGTATAGTTGATTTTTTTTGGACCCAAGTGGAATTCTTCACATTTATATTTGCCCCTTCCATTTCATTAAACAGCAATGGGCAAGTCTTGAGATCTTTCAGCATTCTGGCACTCAATCAGATGACACTTTCTCTCTTCATAAAGGCAACAAATTAGTTAAGCATACCTTCAAGATAAGGTTTCAAATACATATTGTGTATACAGAAAGTTATGGAGCGCCAGTTCAGATCGCCAGAATCTCAGCTGTAAGTAGTGTCCTCAAAGCAAACCTCTCCAGACACAGCTGCTCAAAGTTATGACTCCATCTAATTCTACCACAGTCTGGCAAATTCCCCCATCTCACTAAGTTATCATAAAAGACTTAACAAATGCCTTGCTAAAATTCTGTCACAGTATCATTATGGTTACTATACTCCTTTAAGATACCAATTTGGATGTCCTGTCCTGTTGTTTTTGCTGAATTTAGAAAAACTCTAGTAATCCTTCTCCTCTGGCTAAGAAAAGAAAAACGACACATCTTCCATTTTGTATTGACTACAGAATCTCAGAAATGGGAAGAATCTTAAATATTTTCTAATCTAATGTCTTCCAACAGTAGACTGTACGTCATGACCCATTAGCCGTGAAAGTCAATTTAGTGAGTTGCAACCAACTTTTTTTTTTCTTTTAACGAAATGGAAAATGTCAGAGAAAATCATCTTACAGGAAGGGTAAGTAAACTTTCCGTGTGTGTGTGTGCGCGCGCCACGCTCTGCAGGTTAAGTCATGATATGAAATGTTTCTACCTGTAGATCACAGGTCAAAACAGTTTGAGATACTTTTCTAACCCCACAGACCTACCCCCACAAGGAGGCTCCACCAAAAAATTCTTGGTAATCAAGTCATGTTCTTTGCAACCATTTCACTTCATACTGAGAAACCAACAAATAGGAATTTTGTGCTGGTAAATGTAATCTGCCATTCAGAAAAAAAAAAAAAAAAAGATACATCTGAAGTTTCCAGTTGAACTACTAAACTGCTCAGAGACAGTCATTTATGTTTTGGTGACAGCAGACTGTAGTTTAGTCTGTGGCTAGGAAAGAGAAAAAAATACCATTCTGAGTCGCGAATTCCTCATCTGGAAATACAACAGAGAACTGATAAGAAGACTCCTAGCTCTGCAATTGGCAGATTAACCAACCAAGCCAAGGACTATGCCTCCCACACACCAAAACACTTTAACCACTCAATAAGTCAATTATGGATACAATGAATATCACACCAAGGGTACTGATAATAAGAACCGCAGACAAGAGCAGAAATGAATGAATAAAGCGAAGGTTCCTGAATTCAGAAGAACCTGTTCCCTGACAGGTATCAATTTCTCAGACACCCTCTCCTCCCACACCCCAGTTCATCTCTGTCCTCAAGCTATCAGTTATGGATATGACACTCGCGCTCGATTCTGCCACCCTACCTCATTGTGCAAAAGGAAACTGAGGCATGGAGCAATGAGTGAGCGAGCGAGCTGCAGTAGCCACCAACAAGGCTGGACTAAGAGGCTCAGGCAGCTAATGCCTCCCACAATCCCCAGACTATTTAAAATCTCGCTATCCTCGGCCTCCCACCTCAAACCAAACTCCTGGAGCCACCGCTAAAGCTGGCCCCCTGCGCACCCGATGCGGCCCCCCAGGTCGTGTCCGCCTCTGTAAAGGTCTACAAGGCCTGCAACCCTGTAGTCTAAAAGCAAACCCAACTGGCAACCCTGGAAGCCCCTCCCACGAGCACCCACAAACCAGCTGCCTCCCCTCGCTCCCACCTCCGCGCCGTCTGGCCTGGGCCTCCTCCACGCACCACACGAAGCCCACCGGGCAACACGAGTAGACCCACGGAGGGGGGGTTCTCAGCACCCGCCCCCACAGCTACCGCGGCCGCCGCCGCCGGAAGCGCCCCCGCGTCTCCACGCCACCGTCGTGAGGTCACTTCCGGCGCGACACCTTGGAAACCCGAAGGGCAGACAATTTAGGGGCGGGACGCCAGGGCAATTTGAGAGAGAGAGCGAATGCGACGGTGGCCGATCTGCTCCCTTCCAGAAACGCGCTACAGCTACCACTTTGCGCGCCCCGCCTACTTATACCCGATGGAGTCTTGGCGGGAATTGAAGTCCTGCTTCCCTACTCCCTGGCCCCGGTGCCTGGAGAAATCCCTCCCTCTCTGGCAGACTCGACGAAAAGCTCCCTCTTCCCCTCCTGTCTCCCAAGTTCCAAGTCACCAGGCCCCACGAAAGTCCTTCGCCGAGCTAGGGCGGAGTACTTTCGGGGGACCTGGTGACTTGTGACCCCGTCCTTGCTAAATCACAGCTGTGGGATTCAATAAGTAGGCCAATTCGCCTACGGATTAAAGGAAACAAGAAATTCCCTCAGTGCTTGATCTTCAGAGTTTTATCAGCTTCAGCCCATTTTGGAGTTAGAATCAGCCAGTCTGTGCTCTACTGCTGTCCTCTCCCCGGTACACGGTACAAAGGAATGTGACACTCTCCTTCCCTTGACATTTTAAGAATCTTGGTTGTATTAGTTTATTATTATTTATTTTATTTTATTTTATTTATTATTTATTTATTTTCCTTAATTTTATTTTGTCGATATACAATGAGGTTGATTATTGTGGCCCATTACCGAAACCCCCCTCCCTCCTCCCTCTCCCCCCTCCCTCCCAACAATGTATCAGACTCAAGGTTGAATCCTTGCTATACCTTTTTTTTTTCCAGCTTCTTTAGCAGCTAAGGAACCAAATGGTTTTGTAAACTGACACGAGAACCATCCTATCATCATGAGGTTGTTCTCTGCTGCAAGTACTGCTGCAGCCCGAGGTCATTCACATCCCCATCACCTTGCATAGCGCCTGCCACATAGTAGGTGCTAATATAAGTGTTTTTTTGAGTGAAAGAAGGAATTGTTGTAATAACTTCTACAAAGTCTATCGCCAAAGCTCAAACTGGGACGCTAAAGTCATATCTGAAGTCCCAACTGGTCAGCCATTAAACCTTTGAAAAGAGGTCAATAGCTGCCTTAATTCCACTGTCTGCCCTAAAAAATCACTCTTGCTTAGTGAATTATGCTGTCTCGCTTTATGAACTTTGACCTCATGTAAGGTTCAATCACCCAGTCTTTTGAGTCTTTTAATGCTTTGAAGCATTACTGAGTTTCTCGTTTGGCCTACAGGTTCAGCAAACACATTCAGAATTGGGAAGGGGAACACTCTTTTCTCTAAACTGTGTTTCCATTCTTCTATCCCTAGTGATACAGGAGGTGCTCAGTTTCCCTGGGCTGGGGTTTTAGGACATACCTCTTGGGTTTCCAGCTACTCTCTGAGGTTTCAGGTCCCCTCGTCTGGGATCTCCCCAGGAGGAAAGTTACTGTTGCCACTTAGACCTATTTTCAGCACCAGCACTGGAGAAAACTAGATTACAAGGGGCTGGCTTATGTAAATCCAGGGCTGGGCATGCTCAATAGAGCACAGAATATTCTTGAATATGCCTGGTGCGTGTGATAGGGTCTGACAATGAACATGCTCCAGGAAGAGGCCAACTGAGCATGTGCAAGATGAAATATTATGTAACTGGGAGCCATCCCCTTAACTGAACATTCATTAGGTAGAGAAACTGTAAGAGCCAAAATCCCAGCGAAAGGTGGGGTTGTTCCTCGCTTTCTTGGAGGCAAAGTGAACTTCCCTGGCTAAGGTGTGTATACTTTACTTTGTATCAAACTTTCTTTCACTTACAGCAAGGGGGCTGTTCATTCTCGTGAGCCAGCTTACACTTAGTACTGAACTTTATGCTTTTCTTGCTTTTGTATGAGACTTGATCTCTGTACTGAACTGACTTTTGTGTTAAACTTGGTGTGGGCCCTGCTCAGTCTCTGGAGCATGCCACACTCTCTCCATGGAACTTGTATTTCTTATTTTTTTTACTAAATTTTTCTCACTTTCTACTGTGACTCTGCACTTGAACTTTTTCCTATGGCAGTGTCAAGAACACAGAAAGAGGACTGGGCGGGTTGAGGCTGACTATTGCCCCTGCATCCCCCCGGACCCTACGTCCAACATCACTAGGGCTGGTCATTTTGAGATTCTCAGGTATTCTCTCTGAGAAGGGGATTATTTTCCTTCCTAACCTGAGTGGCTGTCATTACGTTCTTTTAGAAATCATGAACCAATGGCGTCCTGCAAAGGTTGATAAAAATATAGGTTCTAGGCCTCACTCTCAAAGACTCTGATTCACGAAGTCTGGGATAGGATCCAGGCATATGCGTCTTTTGTGATGGTTAGTTTATTATTTTTTTACTTTATTTATTTTAACGGGCAGGCCAGTACAGGGATCCGAACCCTTGACTTTCATGTTATGAGGCTGTGCTCTAGCCAACTGAGCTAGCCAGCTAGCCCCAGGCATATGCCTCTTAACAAGCTGCTCAGGGAGTTCTGATGCTGGTGGCCAGAAGACCACACTTTTAGAGCTACATCAAGCTCTTCACTTAACATTATGTGTTAAAAGCCTCACGTCACTACAGTTCCCTCTCCAAGCCTCTGAACATCATGCTCAATTCACACACAGAAATTGACAAGGTTATTTCTCCAAAACCTAGTTTATTTCTTTCCTTTCCTGCCTTTTTTCCCTGGGGTCTGATCACTCCCACACTATGCATATCCAGTTTTACACAAGAAGTATGTTCTCTCAACAGATACTAGAACTTGGGGTATTCATTAATTACACAACAGATTCAAACTAAAGATTAGCATCTTATAGAATTAGGGGGAAAGTGTCATGCTGTAACATTTTACAAACATCTTGTCCTTGCTACAACCACCAGCTATAGTGTGTTAAAACCGAACATTAGTTGGGACAGGAAATATAAACCATATGCCTGGAATATCTTGTCATACAAGAAAGCAAAGAAGTCAAGGACCACTAGGTTTTTGTTAAAAGAAATAAAAAGCCAACCTGAAGAGGCCCCACTGGTCAGAGGTAGGACAATTTGAGCATCAATAAGAACTCAAGGACCACTAGGTTTTTGTTAAAAGAAATCAAAAGCCAACCTGAAGAGGCCCCACTGGTCAGAGGTAGGACAATTTGAGCATCAATAAGAACAATAGAAATTCATCAAATATATTTAAACCTATGTGCCACTAATGATAATTTCAAGAAACTTAATTGGAACTATTTTAGTCTGTTTGTGTTGCTATAACAGAAATACCTGAGACTGGGTAATTTATAAAGAACAGAGGTTTTTTGGCTTACGATTCTGGGACAGCTGCATCTGGTATGGGCCTCAGGCTGCTTCTACTCATGG